ATTATTATTATTATTATTATTATTATTATTATCACTGCTTGCTGCAAACTGATGGAGTTAAACGAATCCAAGATGGCCGCCAAAGACATCTGACCTTAGAAAACCAAAAATTCCGATAACTCTGTCCATTACACAAATATTGAGCTCCAGTTTATTTTACATGTAGCTGAAAATTGTTCACTGCTCATACAGCTCTGCAGATGACGAGAAACCTTTGTTGAAATTTGCCATTAACTGTTTGAGCCAGTCTTGATTGTCTGTTAGCAAAATATCTCATGAAACACAGGACGCATTAAAATGAAACTTTCAGATAGTAATCATTGGATGTAGAGCTACAAATGTATATTTTCTTGTGGGAGTGAATTCAAATCAATTTGGCCACCACAGKAACTGACCTTTGGATATTAACGTAGAAAATGATCTGCTGAGAGTCATTTTTGAATAAGCACTAACAGATTTTGCATACTTTATTAAAGGCTTGACTACGAAGCAGTTATAAATAACATAATATGATTTAGTCTAAGACTTTGGCATGAAAGGCGACATGGTTTTATTTTATATTATTATTATTGTTGTTGTTGTTGTTGTTGTTGCAATGTAAAGCAGGTGATTAACTTTGCGCACGTTCCCATCCAAATAAAAGGGAAATTTAGCCAATGTCCTCAAACCAATCCCCTTCACCACAAACCCACACGTCAAGCTCATATTTATTCACAAATCCTTTTTTATCATCATCTAAGCAGTGGTTTGAGGTATTAAACACAGGGCAGGTTTTAATTACCCCCACCCCCCCATTCCATTTAACAGCACCAGTAGAAGGAAATTACAACAGTGACCTGCAGCTCGCACGGCTGACTGACTGCACAAGTCGCTCACCCCCAAAACAAGAAGCTGCGTGAGCGACAAGAAGCTGATGAGGATGAGGATGATGAAGAAGAGGAGCAGAGGAAAGGAGGAGGGCCCCAATCACCACCCTCCTCCTCCCCCTAAAGCTTACCACATATTGAAACACTTTTCGCTTTAATAAGTGCAGCTTACAAAGTCTGGGGGTGAAAGGGCACGTGGAGGACGGTGTTTTCAGTCTTTGCCTAAAAAGCCACAATTATTAACAGGACGGAGAGCGGCAGACTGAGTCTGTAAACAGGCCCTGTGGGGGATAGCTTTGATTATTAT